TGATTAACTCCACCTGTCCCTCATTCCCTGCAACGTGCACAAATTGGTGCATGATTTGTCCAACCCCCCTGCCCTCCAGTAACCTGGAATAAGTCCATACGTTACAACCCATATAAAGAGAAGCTTTCCTGTCTCCGTCCTGGCCTGTCTGTTTTAGTCCCTGCAGTTTTCCTTCCGTGTTCAGCTGTCGTCTGCTGTCACCACCTACTCTGCTTCCGCCGAAAAGGACGATCTTCCAATGAAGGTCCCTACTTCCTGCCCTGCCACATGTCATGGCACTTCTGTTTGCCATCCTGACCGGAGACATACAAATAAACACACACACACACACACACACACACACACACACCATGCCAATCAGAGCTACACACACAGATCACAAAGTAGGTTTCCAGCTACATAAAAAGTTCCGACAGCACATTTAATAAACCTGTAGCAACTATTACAAAACTGAAACGCAGGATGATTCTCAAGGTTGGGTTCAAATTCAAGTTCAGCGTGGCTCAATGCCTGAGCAAGGCTCTCTACCTGTTAATAATGATCTCTTCCCAGGAGATAATTCAAATTTATTGCTTAATGTCCTAGTTGCTTAGTGAACATTACTACGAAGAATATTTCGCCGTCAATAGAAGAGAAACTATTTTACCACTTAATGTACCACAGAAAAATGACCTCATTCAGTTTGAGAACTGGCTGAAAACAAGTATAATCGATTTAATGGTAACGGTAGAGAGCTGTCTGTCAAGGACAAACACCAGTGTGTATGAATTCCCAGGGGGTTTTCCGGCTAATTTTCATCGCTATGCGGGATTGTTAAACACCATAAACGCTGTTATTAAAAAAGGGAGGGCTTGGGCTGGAAAAAGTGTTAGTGTTTCAGATGGGAATATTAATGAAAGGAAACAGAAAGCTGATATACGTTCTAGGACGAAAACACGGACAAATAACCCAAACTACAGGGGAAATCTAGAGATTTGGCTTAAAATTCAATTTAGGCTGTTAATCAGCAGAATGAGAGCTGTTAACTAATTTAATTCTAAAGTGCCGTCTGACATTTTCAAAGAGCCTTGCGGGTCATCCTGCGGCTCAACAAGTAACTGGGCTCGTTCTTCTTAGAGAATGCCAACGTGCTCTGCATCATCATCGACTGGAGATCTGAGCTAATCGTCCCCTGACAAGAACATGACCGAACATGAGGAGCTTCAGCTTGGGCTGACACCTTCATCGCCCCCAAAGATCTTTATCACCTCATGCTCACCAACGGTCGGGCGGGCAGACAGCTGCGCATTGATCAGCTTGCGTATTTAGATGTGGCCTGTCTCTCTGATGACACGCCGTTATCATGTCACACGCTGCTCAATGTGTACGTGTCAAACAAATAATCAGATGTGAAGTTACACGAAAAAGACCCCAGTCCTGCGGTCAATTAATCAGAATCGGGGCTTGTTTCAAGTCTTCCTGGGATACTAGCTAGCAGGTATGAACGCACACACACGAAAGGGTCCGAAAGGGCGACCCCGGTTATCCAGTCCCTGTGACAGCCACCCCCTCCCTGTCGAGTAGTACAGGACAGAAAATGAAAAATGGTATTTCCAACCTGCAACTAGGACACTGGGTGTTTAAAGAATAAGATGGAAGAAGAACCATATCCGGGGGGGAGGAAACCCTGTGAGACATGTGCGGGGGGGGGGGGTGTTTTTAGTTGAAAAAGGCTACTGAATGCATTTGTTCCTTTTACAAAAAGCAGGTTAGTAATCTTTCATGCAGGCTTGGCAGGTCGGTAGAGCTGAGCACCTCCTAGTCTGTGCTGATATCCAACTGGAACCTCTGAGGCTGCTTCGGGGTTTGAGGTCACAGTAAGACAAGAGGTGTCAATCATGTGGGGGGGGGGGGGGGGTGGCACCTACATCATTTCATCTCTTTCCAGTTCACCAGCTTCGTTCCTGCCTCAACCACATGGAGATAAGCATGAAGTTCAGGAATGTAACCATGTTAGATTAGACAAGTCTTAGTGTTATCAAGCATCTCCCAAGCCTCCAGGAAAACATGTAAACATGCATCTAAACAAATCACATCTCGTATTAACTTATAGGAACAAACCGAAGGGATTAAGACTGAGCCCCTTTAAGAAGTGAGGGTATCTAAATAAAGAGCAATCAGCGAAGCATGCCTATTGGATGGCCTTTGATTGCGTGTGGAGCAATCACTTCAGTGGGGTGGGGGGGACGGTTGGGGCTTTGGCAGGGATGGTTAACACTGCAGCCAGGTCAGTGGCCAGTCAGAGTTTTTACAGAATGCTCCACCAATGCTACCAATTTGCCAGGCTAAGTCCTTATCAGCTGGCCCTAATCAGCAAGGAAATTAGTTCTTGGAATCAGGCTGAATTCACTATGGGAGGGGTGGCAGAGGACATCGAACACTGGGGGGAGAGATGAGACGGTGCAACATGAAGGGGGGGGGCAAATCCACAGGAGCCGCACCATTTTGCCACCCACTGTGACCGCGGGAGTAAATCTCTCGTTATTCCCCGCTGATTTCAACCTCTGACAACATTCATTTTAAGCCGGCGTACTCCGCATGGCACGGTTTAGCGTCCTTAAACCGGCTCGGAGAAAGATCACTGGATCCCAGCACCTACGGATTTCACTGGCCCTCAGTCTGGTACAGTATCTATACCAGCGTGAGGATGACAGCATTTCAGAAATAAGACCAAGATTTTAAAGTCCTCCTCCACATTAAAACAGCATGACTGAAATAGCCTTTAAGCACACAGATTGTTTTAACTGCTCTCAATCTAACCTGCGGGGAGCAGCTAAAGTTCAAAAACATTAAACCGACAGATCACGAACAGAAGTTGATAGAACAAATGTTTCTCAAAAAGCACACTCTGAGAAAGCAGAGTTCAGCATTCCTCAACACCGCCAAACACACACATTATAAACAACACGTGAGTTATATGTGCTCATTGTCCCTCAAGAAGCCATTAGCTCCTCTTTGTTCCATCAACCACATTGATCAAATAGCCTGAACACCAAAATGCAGCAATGGGGATGATGCCCCTTCGCAACTGCCTACCTAACATTTAATCACCAGCAGCTGTGTGATTTACACACGGATGGCGAGGAGTCTAGCTACACATTAAGCGGAAAGCTATTGATTTTCAACGAAGGCAACGAAATAAATCTGATTTGATATACCTGTCAAAGACGATCGATATTAAAATTAAAGACGTGAAACAGTTGTTACTTTAATAAGCCTGGATTAATGCATGCGTATTTTTAGTATTTCTCTTGCGGGCAAAAAGTGTATTTCTTTTTTCCAATAAACGCGACGATAATGTAACGCAGGTAAGCCTTTCCGGGTCCCCAAGGATCTGGAGGAAAGGCGGATGAAAACGCATAACCTTGAAAGGAGATGTCGTGGGGAAAAGATGATAAAAGAAAAAAAACGAGGAGCCGATTAAAGTTTAATCACAGTTCTTCTTCATCCTTTTTTTAACTTTGCCACTCGTTCGTGTAGCCTGCGGTTTATGTGTATCTGCGAAAATCACGTTTTTCTGCGCCCCTGTCAGCCGCGGACTCCCAGTCGGTTCTCTGTGCGTCACCCAAGGTCCCCGCTCAGAAAAACGAGAAACCAAGAACATGCCTCAGCCTTATTAAAACCCCGGTGATTGACTTGTTTTTTCTGGTGGTATAGCACTTCATCACAGTTTTATCTGCCAGTCACTTTGTTTAGCATAACAGGCTTAATGGATGTGATAATTTAATGCTGTCACTATCTGTTGTGGAGCATGTTAATTAACACAATACTTTCCCTCCTTATCCTAAGTTCTTCACGGTCAAACCGCTGCTTCTTGGTGTAATAATTCAATGGGGGGGGGACAGTCATATTTTTAACGAAATGACCAGCTAAAGGGAGGAGGTTTGATCGTGTATCTGCTGTGTGCCGGCGCTGTACAGCCCTGTGTCAGGTACGACAGAAATTCAGGCTCATAAATGGATCAGTTTTTCCATCGCACACCAGACGGGGGACCTCACGGTACCGGTCAGATGAAAGGTGTTAACAAGTGCGTCTGCAGAAAAAGATTCACTTTGGTTTTGTTAAGCGCCGCGGGCATTTTAGGAGCTAACGATGGTGACGTAACCCTGGCCAAGGCGTAAGAGCAGAAGCACGTGTGGGACTCGATCTCACAGCCTTCGGCGTGGAAACCCAAAAGTCTAATGATCAAAAGCCAAACACCTGGCTCAAAATCTTAATTGAGGGAAAAAAATAATGATTGATTTAAATTCTGCAAATATAAAGTGTATCGCATTATTCACAACTTGCACTTCACCGCATACTGATAGATAGTAAGATGTCAATAACTAGCCTTACAATAACTAGCCTTACTTTTTAATAATATTAATGGGATTAGATAATGGCAAATGGCACACAAAACATCAAGCGCAAACTGTACCTAGTCTAATTGTACAACCTATAATATCGAGATCGCGTCTACGAGGTCTGTAAATGTCAAATATATGCTGGGGGTAATAAGACAATTTCTAAGTCAGTGTTCATTGTTCATCGCTCGCGCTGCGAAGGCGGACCGTATGCGGCTCCGAGATCGGATGGCATGTCACCGAAACGTTGTTTAAAAGACAGCGGACTGGCAAAGCTCTTACGAATCCAGACCAGTCATTTCTGCCCGTTGCCTGCAACTCCCATGTGAAAGTCCGTGTACGCTACACTTTACTCGAAAGCCGGGGATCATTTTAACCCAAGGGATATTTATGAAGTGCATGGGAAATCATTCTGGCTGCGATCGATGTCTATGCACCTGGCATTATAGTGCAGACCATATAATGTTTAAATAAGACCCGACTGCGACGCGAGTCAATTATATCAACCGGCAACGGGCATCCTGTTAATGGACACGTACCCACCAAATGTACCCACCTTGACAACCAGTCGTGTGCATGTAAATGACTGAACTTCGAAACCCGAAGCTGAATACTCACCGCTAAAAGGGTTGTCCCTTTTGATCACCTTCTGAGGTCCCGCCGGTCTCTCCTCCTCACTTCCCAGGTCACTAATTCATATCCACGTTCAGAAACGATCCGCAGAGGTAAAGTCGCCTTGCCCAGGTGCGCCCCTTCCTGCGTTCAACAAGAAACCTCCCTGAATTCCATTCATTCGCACGCACGTAAAGCCGGCCGGGTTTCCTCCTTCCCAGTAATTTACAGCGTTACTCTCGCTATTCTCTCCGGTTCTGGTTGCAAACACGCCGCCGACAGCCGTCTCTCCCCCCGTCGCATTACGCCGTTCCGACGTCTCAGTATGAGCCTGCCATGGTTAGACGAAGCTCCTCGCAGGAAGGTATCAGCTGCTCGTACGCAGCTTCATTTAAAACGCCCCCCACACAAACACACCTCCCCCCCCCCCCCCCCGCCACTCACTCCCAAAACCCCACACTCCCCCTTTGCAGCCCCTTAACCGAGTCGTATTTTTTAATGTGTTCTGCTTTGCTTAACCTCAGTAGACCTAGAGGCCATTTAAGGTATCCTTTAAAAAACAGTACTATTATTATTATTATTATTATTAAAATTGGATACCGCGAAGGTTGATTATGCAAACCAGGGTACATCTGCCCACTAACGATTTTGGCCGAAGACCAGGGCGCTGCTTCGGTCTTTGCATTTCAAGACTCCGAAACGCGGCACAGAGATGCTCGCTGTTCAAGATGCATAGATTACAGTACTACCAGACAGATCAGATGGACTCTTATATGCACAAAATAATAATAATAATAATAATAATAGTAATTAAGTTTGTTTCTTTTGAACGAAGTCATCATATTTCTTTAAAATGATTACGTAACAAATAATTTGATTGTACTTTAAACTTATTGTACCAGATAAATGTATCAGTTAAAAGCTTTAAGCAGCACCATCTATGACTGGTACTTCGGGCATCATCCTTTTCCTGTGTATTTTTAGCGGAGACTATGTAACCAGTCAAGGGTCTTAAAATAAATGCTCATTCTTTTCGATTTGCATGAAATTATTAGACTTCAACGGAATGAAAGAAATAAGAGTTCTCGCTCTACTATTAATTGATTAGCATAATAATTACGCCGAATGCGCTCCAGTAGAGAACTTAATCACATGCCTGAGAAGCACTTTTAAGGCAATCCCTTCGTTTAACCCCTACGTAGGTTACTTCGGTGTATAGGGAGTAAGATTTTTTCCCCGTATCAAGCGGCTTTCCTCCTGGTATTCCGGTTTTCTCACACAGTCCGAAAACCTCTGATTTAACTATCCTCTCTTAAACATGCTCATGTGTGCCCATGTGCCCCTTCCCATAACCCTGACCAAGACAAGCGGTTAGAAGGTGAATGGATGCTGCCACATTTTGTTTTTTATGATGCAAATAAAATTAAAGATGTATTAAAAATCAAAAGGTAAAGAGAAATGATATAACTATGTTGTTACCACGAGTTTCTGATGTACTATAAAGTTTCAAATTGCATTATCCTGACAATTGTAAACGGTTGAAATATAAAAGCATGAAATAAAACAGTGACACCTATGGGTTATATTTAATAATGACACCTATGTCTTTCTAATTGTATCGCTCATTTTGTATTCGGTTCGAAATGAGCGGGACTGAGTGTAGCAGAAATTGTGTAGTTCGGCGTTAGTCAGCACAACAACAATCCTGGAGTGTACCTAAAGTTTGTAAGACTCTCAAGTTAGGACTTACAGCGAGGTCTAATTTTAGCCTGTATTTTCATTTTCTTTTTTTCTTAATTCTTTCTTTCTTTCTTTCTTTCTTTCTTTAGTTCTTTCTGACAATAATAATAATAATAATAATAGTAATAATATCATTAATAATAATAATAATCGGTTCCATTATTGATTCAATATTGTTATAATTATAGGTATTCTGTTACACCGTGTAAACCTAATCGTTTTATATTTGAGTTGTTATTTATCGTATATCATTTGGTAAAATCATACTTACTAAATAATTGTGTGTTCCCAGTTAATCTCAAGCGGGCGATAAAGCCCTAATACTCCACGGTATTTAACGGGTCCCCGTTTTGGTTTTGTAATTTTTTACCTGCCGTGGGGAAGCAGACACAGAGCACCCCTTTAATGAGAGGCGGCACAAGCGGCGATGTGAGTCTGTTGGCTGCCATACCAGCGTTGTGTATCACTGCCTCTGAGACAGGTCTTTAAAGGTAGATATAATCAAATAGAGCGACAGATTCAATTATTCTGGGCTTGGAGTTGGACAGAGCTGATATTTGTTACAGTGGAATGTAATTCAGTTGTAAGACAAGGTTAGTCATGCCTGGTAGATACTCAGACATGCATCTCCAATCACCTGTGTCTGCCAGTGCAAGTCCACACTGCCCCCGGGGGTGTTTGTACAATAGGATGACCTACTCTTGATTTTTTTTGTGGGGGGAGACTCGAATGAAAAGAAAGCATTGCTCACTCTTGAAAAAAGCAAGACAGCCATGCAAACGAAGCAACGAGCCTGGACTTGAACTGCAGCCCGGGTAGTGGCAGTACATTTGGAACCTTACAACAGCATAATTTCATCAGCTATTATTTTGTCTTTATCCCTGTACGCTACACTGGCGGGAGCTGGGGGGGGGGGGGGGTGGTTGGATATGGAACAGCAACACATGGATAAAACAAAAAAATTACCACAAAACATGGATGACAATTTTCCACCAGGGCGTTTCAAAGTTGATATTAAATCCGGTCCCCGCGGGATCACGCGGCAAGGCGAGAAGATCAGCATCTCCCTGGAAACAAACGAGGCCCCTGGAGACACAGGTGCCCTGCTGCGGTCTATCGGGGCCCCGCATGCCATGCCGTGGTGCCTGCCCAGAGAGCACAGGGGTGCATTGCATTGCGGCCCCTGTAAGGATCATTACCGCCGTAATGCATGCATGTCTTTCACTGCTCCCTCCATCCCCTCCCATTCTACAACTGGTTCTGGAGTCATTTTCAGCATGGTTATGGAAGATTAATGAATATATGCAAGTATATGCTAAAAAATGTAACAATTAGCTGCACAATTCAAATAATGCAAGAAAATATCAAATGCTGTCCATAAATGAATAGCGAGAATCAGATTATGCCTGTAAGTACTGTGTCCATTTGCCAGGATTAATGTGTCGTTGCACATGTTGTAAATGTCATTTAAAACCTAGTAAATATTGGTTATTCTTGACACAATCACTAATTAATGCTATGTAGCAGTATCTAGCTCTGGTACTTTCTTTTTATTTTCACATTTGTTTTGGAATTTTGGAATAAAATCATCTGTTGGTAAATTGCAAATTTGAGCAGCCTGCGAAAATATAACGTCGTTTCTTGAACTTAATTTTTTTTAAAAGAAACACTCTCAATCTGTAAAGGTCAAAAATCAAATGAATTTAATTATGAATACTGATGAAATGCAAATGTGTTTTGATACATATTTACAAGATATACAAGAGTTTCGGGCTGTTACAAGAGTTCATTGCAATCACATTTTTGTCGTTTTGTTTTTCAGGAAATGGCAAAAATCAGGAACTATCTGTCAATGGTAAAAGTAAATTCTTCATCCCCACCTCCCCCCCCCCAGCCCACCCCACACTGCTTATATAGTGCAGGATCGGAGAGGAGCTAGAAGTCTATTTCTGGAAACACAGGGCTGGGGTATACCATCAACAGGATGCCAGTCTAATAGAGGGGGCACATATACACACAATGGGCAACGGGCAAAGACTGCCTGTCTTTGGGTTGCAGAAGGTCCATAGGAGCCCCACATAACAGTAGGAGAACTTGTGAATTTCTCACCCACAGCGTAGGACCAGGATTTGAGCACCCAACTCTGGAGGTGTCAGGAAACACCGCAATCCTCTCAGCCACCACAAACACTTCATAAAGCTTAAAGAATAATTCCACATTAAAGCCCCTCGTCAGGACTAAGCGATGTTTAGGCCGCCACCCTGTCTTCCCGACACGCTCCGCCTTTGTCCAGCCAAGCTTTCACTTTAAAATCGGCTTATCCAGGCAAAGGTCACTGGAACCCAGAGCTCCATGCAGTGGCAGCCACTCGCCACCCTTCCAGCATTTCTGGACAGCGTGACCCCAGCCTCTGTGTCCAGATTGGCTCCCATTCCTCCACTATCGCCCTGACACCCTGTCACCAGTAACCGGGTGGCGGCGTAACACAGCCACGGGGTCATGTGATGCTTTTTGTGGTCAAGTGACTCCTGGAATTTAGCCTAAGCTCTTGGACATATTGCTTTATTGTCCTTATTATTCTGATGATTATGGGAATAATAATAATAATAATAATAATAATAATAATAATAATAATGGCCAAGAATGTCTGAGGGTGTGGGCTTGAGTAACTGAATGATTCGACCCCCACCCTGGGATATCCCCCCCCCCGTCTCACAATTTTGTTTCCCATAGCCGTTGCTGTGACTCTTTCCTGGCCCCGATATTCCATTATCCATTTTTCTTCCCTATTCCTTTAATCAGTCTTTCTGTTTGAGAATCACTCAACAGAACTGTGTCTTCCACTTATTCATTGACATGATTGTTTGCAAGAGAGCTACACTGAATTATAAAGTCTACCTGTTCTTTTAATTACGAAGGCAATTAATTACCCCCGTTTTGCATAATGTTAAAGAGCGACGGCATATGGAAAATTACAGTATGTCGTACATATGCAATGCCAGCTGATGTTAAGAGGATGTAAAAAATCATGTTGGGGATATGATTAGATTAAATCTGTGATTTCAAAGGCAGGCCTCAGGCTGATACACAGCTAAGGTTCTAGAGATTTTGGGAAATTACAGGCCTTACTGTAGACCACTTATCAGATTCTCCGGAAACATAATCGGGAAATACAGACTGTATTGCTGACGCGGGCTGGTGAGTGACTCTGCCACGGATACCTGCCATGGTGCCGTGAGGGTGAGGGTCGGCCCGGCACACCGCCGATGGTGCTCTTTGGGACGCGCAGAAGACCCAGATGATTCACCTCCCTTCCAGGTCACAGAAACCTTACAACCGCCTCTTAGGTCTACAGCAATGAAACCGAGAGTCTCTCAAGTGTTGACTGGGTTGACGGAGACAGAATAGGCTCCCAATTTATGTGATATGTGGAATGGAAATCGGTGCCCAGACATCCGGAAGACATTGGAAGGCAAGAAGGAAGGAGGAAAAGGGGAATTAGGTGCATTTTAACACAAAACAGAGTGATGACTTCCTGAATAGTTGTCAAAAGTCAAGTGCTCTGATATATATATATATATATATATATATATATGTGGATTCTATGCAGTATTTGCATTGCACTGGCAGTTGCGGTG